GCTTTTCCATATGCGTGCTCGAGCATCCCGCTCATATGGAACCATATGATTGAGGCATTCTGAGTTTTTCTTGACCACATCGTGGCAAATGATACTAACTGAATATCGTACGAAGATCACCATGAGACACGACATTTGGAGGTGATGGCATTTTACTCTAGATGGTTGACATGTGAATATTGTCTTATATACCCCAGCTACCTGAGTGAATCTTATGCTAGTTTGGATATATCCACAGTATACCTAGAGATCCCACAGTTGTTGCTTCTATCATTATTCTCCGTATGGATGTTGATGAGATCTTTACAATGTACTTTTATCATCTGGTACTAGAGGATGTATGACATGTACCATCTCCTCGTCCATGAAGTATGATATACGAATGCATCCAATGATTATATAGAGTGTCACAATCTTTCATGACACCAAATGTAGAGGGAGATCCCCCAATGCCAATTCCCCAGGAGATCTTAAAAGAGGATCAGGCAAGAGCGGACTATGTCATTTATGTGTTACTTACACACCACTACATTGTGGAGGGAATCCCTCAGATGGCCACTTTGTAGGCCATCTTAGTAGAGTCATAGTTATTTTATTTTAATTTATCTTACTTGGATTAATTTTATAATTGACTTATAATTTAAATTTATCATAAAAATTGTCAAATTTCATCTATCTTATTATTGTTGAGTTTGTAATTCCTTGTGTCGAAGTAGTGTAGCTCGACAGAAATAATGTCTAGTCAAATTAGCCTAATATGTGTGTGTCGAGTTGTAATAGTATGTCGAAGTGTCGAAGCAGGTTGCTTGGCACATGATTTCGACTTAGGCATATTTTAGTAATGTTAGCTATTTTAGGCCTTTATAGTTTTGGGCTTTGGCTTGGGGTACAAACTAACATAAATCTATAAATAGGGAATAACCCTTATTTTGTACACAACAAGATTCATAACATTGTATTCACAGTTTGCAGTTACAAGTGAAATAAGAGAATTTCCAAAGTTTGTGGGCAGAGAGAACTCTGCAGTATTTTCATCTTCTTTTCCAACTTTACTTACTTACGTTCTTTTTTTCTAAATCTTTTCATTGTCATTATGTAATTGATAACAATCCTGTGATCAAGATTGAACGTGATTATCCATAGATTGTGGTTGAATTCCAACATCTGGTATCTATAGCTCCGATTGCGATTCAAGAAAGCAAAACCAAGATGGCGATGAATCATCCAAACATGCACTTTTCGGAGAACCTTCTGATTCTCAAGAAAGATAATTATGAGAATTTGTGCAAGCAGATTAAGGTGGTATTCTGCTATCAAGATCTTTGGTATCTTGTGAAGGAAGGAGTAACACCGCTTGCAGAAAACGCGACGGATCAAGAAAATGCTGCATATAAAGAATTGGAGAAGAAAGATTATAAAACTCTCCTTATAATCCATCAATGTGTTGATCCAGATAACTTTGAAAAGGTTTGTGATGTAGAATTAGCGAATGAAGCACGGGAAATTATGGAGAAGTCGTTCGGAGGTGCAGAAAAGGTGAAAGAGGTGAGGTTACAAACTCACAAAAGGACTTATGAATTGCTTCAGATGGAAAAAAGTGAAAGTATAACAGATTTCTTCACTAGAGTTACAAAACTGGTGAATCAAATTAAGGTATATGGACAAATGTTGACATCAAGATCAGTTGTTGCAAAAATCTTGAGGTCATTGGCTCCAAAGTTCGACCATGTGGTAGTATCTATAGAAGAGTCGAAAGACTTGTCAATATTGACAAAGGAAGAGCTTCAAGGGACGCTTGAGTATCATGAACAAAGATGGCTGAAAGAGCTGCAGGAAAGTCGAAGAATGATATGGCTTTGCAGGCGCAGTCAGAAAAGGAAAAGAAAGGAAAAGGAAGTTGGAATGGCAACAAAGGTAGAGGAGGCTACAACAATTCTACTGGTCGAAATCAGGAAGAAGGGAACTGGTCGAATCAAAGAAAACCCTGGAATTAAGGCAAATCAAAAGGTGGTGCTGCAGGTAGAGGAAAAGGTGGTGGTTGAAAGCCTGCCAAAAGTCACATTCAGTTTTTCAATTGTCATAAGTATGGTCACTATTTTAGTGAGTATCGAGAAAAGAAGAAGAATTAAGAAACTGATGCAAAGCTAGCGAAACATGAAGAAGAAGAGATGTTGTTGATGTTCACAACAAGAGATGAAGAAAGATTCCAAGATCAGCGGTACTTGGACTCAGGATGATCATCACACATGACTAGAAGGAAAGATTGGTTTGTCAACATGAAGCCCTCAAAGAAGAATATGGTGAAATTTTCAAATGACAATACTCTAGCAGCTGAAGGTATTGGTGATGTTCTAATTATGAGGAAAGATGGCAAGAAGTCAACAATTTCCAATGTATTGTATACACTAGGCATGAAGAGTAATTTGCTCAGTATATGGCAGTTGGTCGAAAAGAACTACAAGATGTCGATCATAGACAAGATGGTGAGAGTTCTCGACTCAGGTGGTAGGTTAATCTTGAAGGCTCCTATGTCTCAAATAGAACCTTTGAGATTGAACTTAATGTGATTGAGCATAAGTTCCTTGCAACTACAGCCAACAGAGATGAATGAATATGGAATTATCGACTTGGCCATCTCAATTTTAAAGACATCATAGATTTGAAGAGAAGAAATATGGTTTCAGGATTATCAGAAATTGACATTTTAAGTGAAGTGTGTGAAGAATGTGTTCAGGCGAAACAATACAAGAATAGCTTCAGCAAGGATGCAGGAAGCAAGTCGAAGGCAATTATATTAAAATCATATACTATAATGTGTGTGGTCATATCCAGGTGGATTTGATTGGAGGTAATAGATACTTTGTCTCGTTCATAGATTATTTCAGTCGAAAATTGTGGACTTACCTGATAAAGAAGAAAAGTGAAATGATCGAGGTATTTACCAAATTCAAATCTATGTCAAAAGACAAAGTGGTCGAAAGCTAAAGATTATGAGGAGTGGTGGGGGTGGAGAGTATGTGTCGAACAATTTCGTTGCATTATGTAAGAAAGAAGGGATTGTGCATGAGGTGGTGTCACCTTACACTCCACAACAGAATGGAACTGCATAAAGGAAGAATAAAACCATCATGAATATGGTGAGAAGTATGTTAAAAGGCAAGCATCTACCCAAAGAATTACGGGGAGAAGCTGTGTCGACTGCAACATACATATTGAATAGATGTCCGACGAAGAAGTTAGAAGGAATTAAGCCAGAAGAATGTTGGTCTGGTGTCAAGCCTAGCCTAAGTCACTTGAAGGTGTTTAGTTCTATAGCACATGGACATGTGCCAAATCAGTTGAGAAGAAAGCTTGATGACAAGTCGAGTCAAATGATCCTAATAGGATATCATTTGACTTGAGGATACAAGTTGTTTGACCCAATGAACAAATAAGTTGTGATCGGCATGAGCGTGATCATAGATTAGCTTAAGGAATGAGATTGGACCGAGAATGTTAAGAGTAATTTAGTGAGAACTTATATGAAGAACCAGCTAGTCAAGTCGAAAGAAAAGTTTGACAAGAAGAAGTCAGAGGTGAAGCAGACCCAAGCAGACCTCGACGAACAAGAGACATGCATGCAAAGTTGTAAGAATGAGTGATTACATCAGATGATGTGGTCGATGAAGAAGGTGAGTTAGTACACTATACTTTCTACGCATATATGTCGAACCAGTCAATGCAGGTGAGGCATTGTAAGATTCGAAATGGGTGAAAGAATGAATGAGGAGTTAGAGTACATTGAAGTTAACGATATTTGGTCACTTGTCGAATTGCTTCAAGGAAAGAAGACAATTGATGTGAAATGGGTTTACAAGGTAAAGGTGAATCCTAAAGGAGAAGTAACTTGACACAAGGCAAGACTTGTGGCGAAAGGATTTCTACAGAAGGAAGGAATCGACTTCGACGAAGTTTTTGCACCTGTTGTTAGGATCGAAACAATCAGATTTGTTGTTGGTCTAGCAAACATTAGAAATTGGCACACATGTTAAATGGATGGAAAATGTGCATTCCTCAATGTCCTCTTAGATGAAGAAGTTTATGTTGCACAACCAGTTAGGTTTGTGAATCAGATTGCAGATATCACGACGAAAGGAGTGCAAGTCGAAGTATTCAAGAAGTTAAGGTCTATGATGAATGTAGATAGCTTAGACACAATGAATTAGGTGGTGTGTTGAGTTTGTAATTCCTTGTGTAAAAGCAGTGTAGCTCGACATAAATAAGGTCTAGTTGAATTAGCCAAATGTTTGTCTGTCGAGTTCTAATAGTATGTTGAAGTGTCGAAGTAGGTTGTTTCACACAGGATTTCGACTTAGACCTATTTTAGTAATGTTAGCTATTTTGGGCTTTTATAGTTTTGCGTTTTGCCTTGGGGTACAAGCTAACCTAAATCTATAAATAGAGAGTAACCCTTATTTTGTACACAACAAGAGAATTTTTACAGTTTATGGGTAGGGAGAACTCTATAATATTTTCATCTTTTTCTCCAACTTTACCTATTTTCTTTCTCAATCTTTTCATTGTCATTGCACAATTGATATCTTAAAATCAAAATTGAACATAATTCTCCATATAATTGAATTCCAACCATTGTCAAAGAGAAAAAAACATTATCAAATCGTAAATTTAAATATTAAAAATATGGACATGGAAATCAGAAATTGAAATCCAGAACAATTCTGTGACAAAAATGAGGGGCTTTAATCTTCTAGAGCACGCTATGTTTATTGGACATCGGAAATCAGAAATTGATATCCAGAACAATTTTATGACAAAAATGAGGAGCTTTAATCTTCTAGAGCACGCTATGTTTATTTAGTTTATTCAATATTCTTTAATTATTGTGTTCATTATAAAATTCCATTAAGATTTGTCTTTTCATAACTATCTCAAGAACGAGTACATTAATCGATCTTAATTAGGAGTATTTCTTCACCACTAACTTTGATTCTTGAACAACCATGAAGAGAACTCGATCTCAAACCAAATCCAACCCCAACAACAACTCAGAACCCCCAATCAAAACCCTAACCTCTTCAAAAATCCCATTCCCCGTTAAAAAAATCTCCAAACTCACCATCAAAAACAAACAACCCCACCTTCATCTTCCCACAACACCACCTCCAACAATCGCAAAACCATTATCATCACACGGCGAACTCCAATCCGCTCTCAACCACCTTCGCTCCGCCGACCCACTCCTATCAACCCTCATCAACACTTTCCCTTCCCCACAATTCTCAACCAACACCACGCCCTTCTTTTCTCTCATCAAAAGCATTATCTCCCAACAACTCTCCAACAAAGCCGCATCTTCCATCGAAAACCGTTTTATCTCTCTCTTTCAGAACCAATCCTCAATCCTCCCCGACGCCGTTTTATCCTTTTCCCCAACTCACCTTCGGCAGGTTGGAATCTCGGGACCCAAAGCAACCTACATTCACGACCTTTCCACCAAATACGCTAATGGGTTTCTGTCTGATTCATCGATTCTCGAAATGGACGATGAAACACTGTACGAGAAACTAACGTCGGTTAAAGGGATTGGACCTTGGTCGGTTCATATGTTTATGATTTTCACACTTCATCGTCCTGATGTTTTGCCGGTTGGGGATCTTGTTGTGAGGAGAGGCGTGGAAAAGTTGTATGGTCTTAAGGGTTTGCCTTCACCTTCACAGATGGAGGTTTTATGTCGTAAATGGAAGCCTTATAGGTCGGTTGGATCTTGGTATATGTATAGGTTTGTGGAAGCTAAAGGGGTTTTGCCAAATCCCACTACCACGTTGTGTTAACCATTTGTTAATCTAGTTAATCTTAATGTTTTTTGTATGCAATGTTTGTTTCATGTTCTACTAAGTTCTAACATCTGTTTTTTGGTTTTTCATTTTTTGTGTGTGTTACTTTGTTGGTGTTTGACCTGTGTATGATTTGTAATAGAATTGATTAATGCTGTTTATATGATGTTTAGTGAAAAATTGAAAATCTATTGGGTTGGAAAATCCTTTTAAAGCTTAAAAGAATGATATGACTGGATTTGCAACTAGTTTGTGGTGCTTTGAACCTTGATTGAATGTAAGATTGACTACTGAGGTGTTTATTGTATACAAAAGAAAGAGAAAGAGAGAGGCTATTCTGGTCTTGATGAAGTCAGGAGTGGAGAAGAACATTTATTTGCTGCCTTGTTAAAAGAATAAACATGATTTCTTTCAGATAAAGAAATAAACATGATCATATAATAATGGAATGACCGCTATCTAAATGTCCTAAATTGAAATGAAAATCCATTTTTATACCAATTGTGAAACTATTTAAGACTTGATGTTGCTTAAAAGCCTTGAAGTTGCTGGATGATAAACATATAGGGAGGGGCTGCTCTAAAGATGATAAAAGCATTAAAAGTAAATTATTTAAATGCACTTCTAATCCTCTATTTGATATTTTTTAACTTTTAATATTTTATCTTAAAAACTAGTTTCTTTGTCTTTGGACTTTTATTTATTTTATTTTTTATTTATTTATGATAGTGATTATTAAGATAAAAAATATTTTTAATATGATTGATGAGTAAGTTTATTTATTAATCACTCCATCCATTTTAAAATATTCTCAACACATTTTTATTTATGAATATCATTATTATTTTTTAATATATTAATAATTGTTATTTTTTCAATTGTGTTATATAATTATTACTCTGTACACTATTTTTAACACATTAATAAAACTAATTTAGTAAAAGTATTGTTTTAGACTGGACAAAAGGCTGGTCCATCATCGGGCACGACCCAATCCAGCTCCTCGTCAGGGAGGGTCCAACAAAGGCCCAATCCATCATTCCGCACAGGGAATGCTTCCCATGCGTTTCCCCCACGCTCTTCACGTGCTCCTCACGCAGGGACATGTCATCATCCAATTACCCACGACTTTCGGGTGACAGTTTCGCCCACAAGAACAAGTCCTCCACATCCTGAAGTCCACAGAGCAGTTGACTCAGGACGAAGACCACGTGCTGATCTTCCCTACTCCACGTAGATCCTGATAGTTATCTGTGTTGGGTCTAACGATCCAACCCAATGCAGATAACCGTTGGTCCAGCGCTGGGGGCTAATTATAAATACCCTCCTTTAAAGGAATGTCAAGTATTTTAAACACACTAGCTTTTTGTACTTGCTTTTTCTTTACTTCATCCCTTACTTAGGCGTCGAGGGGTCCTGTAGGTACACCCCATTCTCTTCTCCACCACTAGCAATTGGAAGTTCATGATGTGTTGCTGATTGTTGATCCTCTTTCTGATTCAGTAAGATAAGTGACACCGTCTGTGAGAGTCTTTTGCTTCCCCGTCTTTTTCTTCCTCTGAATTCAAAGGACCAAAGCAATCTTCAACTTCTCCCGATCATGGTCAGCTAACACACTGACGACAATGTCCGAGAAACTGCCTTCACCACCGTCGCTGACGGTGACGACCACGACAACAACGTGGCACCCACTGTCAAAGAAGGTGACCATATGGACAGGCACACCGCCTCTCCCTCCCCCGACGATGCGACCTACAACGCCGCCCAACGTTTTAAGAGTCCGACGGTTTTCCAGCAGATTGTTGTGTCGCTCAATGTCGACCCGACCACGGTGGCCTTGTTTGCGGTGATCAACCAGACGAACCTGATGATTTTCCAGTAGTACGAACGCATCAAGATGCTGGAGAAAGAACGACAATCACGCTCTCCCTCGCAGAGACATCGACGACCAATTTCTCATAGTTCGTCCCCGCGACGACGAGAAACGTGTCCTTACTCTCCCCCGCAGAGAGACCAACGAGATGAATCCCAAAACCCCTCACTGCGACAGCCCGAACGTTGGCCGCGGTTGAAGAGGCCACAAACCGCAATCACCCAGAAGCGGGATCGCTCCCCTCCTCGCAAGGAGCGTCGCTCCCCGGCTCCCAAAAGGAACAAAGCCGGGGGGGCAGGCAGAGAAGCTAAAGGTTCGACCAAGGAGCTCGTCGTGTCGCGGCAGAACCCCCCAACACGACCATTCCCCATCACGCTCACCAATCCGGAGCGATAAAGACAACCCCCGCAGTCCTCTGTCCCGAGAAATTATGGAGGCCCCCATCCCCGTCGGGATGGAAAAACCACCGAGTTTGGCGACCTACGACGACACGACGGACCCAAATGACCACATCGAGAACATCGGCGTGATGCTCGATTACCGCAACGTCCGGGGTGCCATCAAGTGTCGGCTCTTCCTCACCACTCTAAGGAAGGGAGCAATGACATGGTATAAGAGCCTCGAACATGAGTCTACCACCTCCTGGAAGGACCTGAAGACACAGTTTACTAGGCACTTCACTGTCTCCCGTCAACACCCAAAATTCGAGGTTTCGCTCGAGGCCACTATTCAAGGAGAACACGAATCTCTCTGCAAATATATAGAGAGATTCGACCGAGAAGTCGTTCAAGTCCTCACGACCGACTGAATGAAAAGATATTTGCTCGAGCATTAAGACGCCTCACTTGCTGGACACCCTTCCCCTTAAAGCACAGACGTACATACAATACAAGGAGAGAGAGGCCGCTAACAAGGCCCGCGACTCGCGGAACCAGAAGGGTTCCAAAGTGACGGTGTACGATGACTCTATAGCTCCCCAACGAGGCAGGGAGAAAAAAGTAGACGAAAGGCCCCGCGACTCCCGAGAACACAGGGGGCCAGAAGGCCGTTTCACCGAGTACACACTATTCACCGGTCCCCGCGAGCGCATTCTGGCCGAGTGCATCAACTCGGAATTCCAAAGGGGTGGAGTTCGTTTTCCCAAACCGACGCCCCCAAGCCCAACGTCGACAAGTCCAAGTACTGTCGATTCCATAAGAGCCACAAACATGTCACGGAAGACTGCATCCACCTCAAGGATGCAATCGAGATCCTGATCAAGGAAGGGCATTTAAAGTAGTACATCAGAAGGAATGAAGCCCCTCAACAAGAAGCCCGCAAGACGAAGAAGGTCGAGGAGGTGACACCACCCTCCGACGATGCTGGGCTACAAGTTGCCCTGTGCGTCTCCCGACCAAAGGACTTCTACCTCCCCTACGAGGCCAAGATATATTAGTTCGTTCGTAGCATATGGGAAGACTTCCCCTCCGATATGGTCATATCCTGTGGAGGGTTCAACAAGCTATCTGTGGGGCCAGTAAAGAGGAAGTTTGATGAGATAATCGACGCAAGGTCGAAGTAGAACGCCACCCTCGACAGGTTCGAAGGAAAATCAAAACCCATCATCGTATACCTCAAGGAGCTTCCAAGCGGTGCCCTTAATTACATCATTCCTCTGCTGATCAGAGCCCATATTGCAAACTTCGACGTCCGCCACATCTTGGTCGACCAGGGGAGCTCTGTCGACATTATGTATGCTCACCTGTTCATCCCTCTCCAGCTCGACGAGAGGCATTTGACTCCATATGTGGGCTCCGACTTGCAGGGCTTCAACAAAACCACCACTAGGAAATAAGGTTGTGTCAAGCTGCTCATCACATTCGGGTCAGAGGAGACAGCCAGGTAAGTCAAAGTCTGTTTTCTGGTGATAGAGTGTCCCTCTCTATACCAATGCATTATGGGAAAACCAACCCTGGCCGAACTGACCGCAGTACCATCCACAATCCACCTGAAGATGAAGTACTACACGGCCAGGGGTCGTGTCGTCATCCTCCACGGTGACATTGAGGCGACAAGAAGGTGTTTCGAGGTGGCTACTAATAGGCTGAACTCAATTAACATAACGCCTAAGAATGCTAGAAAACAAGCCCGGGCCGAGGAGCAGAAGCCTTTGACTCACGTCAACTCAGTCGGCCTTGATAGTCATTTCCCCAACAAGCAAGAGCATAACGAAGCAGCGACAAATGCCTCCCTAGAATCAGACAATAATGAGCAATATCTCCACCCTGTGTGCCCCATTCTAGATGGCGACTTCGAGCTCATTGCCCTAGGTGACAACCCGGACAGAAGCGTGAAGATTGTCACAAGACTCCCCGATCTGGCGAGGAAGCAACTAAAAGCCTACCTTAGGGAGAATGTTGACTTGATCGCATGGAGTGCTGCAGAGATGCCCAGGCTCGATCCCGACGTGGCCTGCCATCTGCTAACCATAGATCCGATCCCTAGGGTTTTAGTACAGCATAGGCGTAAGCAGTCTCTCGAGGAAACAGAGGCTGCTAAGTTAGCTATAAAAGACCTCATAGAGGCAAATTTTATCTTCGAAGCCTAGTACACAACCTGGCTCTCAAATGTTGTACTTGTTAAGGAATATAATGGAAAGTGGCGTATGTGTGTTGATTATACTGATCTCAATAGAGCCTGCCCCAAAAATGCATATCCCTTGCCTAACATCAACAAATTAGTCGACAATTCTGCAGGTTTCAAGCTATTGACGTTCATGGACGCATACTCAGGGTACAACCAAATCCCCATGGAGAAAGTAGACAAGAAATACACGACCTTCATTACCGAGTCGGGCAACTATTACTACAACGTAATACCCTTCGACCTGAAAAATGCTGGTGCTACTTACCAACAAATGATGAACAAAGTCTTCTGAGGTGAGATCAGGGACATGCTCGAGGTCTACATGGACGACATGATCGTGAAGTCACAAGAAGAGACTAACCACCTGATCCATCTCAAAATAATCTTCGACATGGCGAGGAGATGCAAGATAAGGTTCAACCTGGAGAAGTGCACCTTTGGTGTCCGAGCAGAAAAATTCCTCAGCTTCTACTTGATAGAACGAGGAATTGAGGCAAAC